TTGTTAGCATAATTCCAAATCTAAAAATTCAGCATTATTGCTGGTTCTTAAAAATCGATCTATCAGAAATTGTGAAGTTAATATTATTCGAAATTCTTTGTATCAGGGCGTGAGAGTTTAAGAGGCAAACATAATTGTAATTGTGAATTAATATTTTTAGTATTGCGCAGTTTTACAAGTGTAATTTCTAAATGATAATGTTTGGATCAACGATGGCATTAATGATTGCTCGATTATGCCGAAAACACTCACAACGATATCTTTCATCAAAACAATTAATGTATGAAAAGTATGGACATCCCCCAGATGTAAGAACCATTTTGTATTATATTTCTTTGTTTTCCAGAAGGTTCAACTCGATGAAACTGTTGCTCTCCACGTATTGCTCCATGAACAACGAATTTGGTTATTTTATTATGGGGAAATGTTTATTGCCATTACATTTCTGGATGATGTTTGATCCACAGCAATAGGTTTACCAGAGAAACCATTTCCGAAAGAAAAACATTTGATCGTTTCAAATAAGGCTCAATAAGGAATGCAAAATTTATGTTATTATAAAAAAAATTCTTAGTTTCAAGGACGAAAATCCTAATTCTGTTTGCAGGTGTTGAAATTAGTAAAAAAAGAAGTGGGGGAAATTGGTGCTGATGAGGTGCGAGTACGTTGGATGGGTGCACCTATCAATCCAGCGGATATAAATCAGGTGCAAGGAGTTTATCCAATCAAACCACCATTACCTGCTGTTGGTGGAGTAGAAGGATTTGGTGAGGTTGAAGAGGTGATTTTGTTATCGTTTTCTTTGGTATTTTTATAGAAAATTACTATGTTAAACACAAATTTTGAGAATAAAACTGCATTTTTGTCGAACAGTATTTTTACTTTCTTTGATCTGTTGTTTATATTCGTAACTTTTGGTGGTCTTTGAATGTCTGACAACATATATTTTTATTTTCTCGATGATTTTTATTCGTTGTAGATTGGAAATGAGGTAAAGACTTTGCGCACTGGTGATTGGGTTGTGCCAGGTATTTCAGAAGCTGGTAGTTGGAGGACACTCGGGAAACACTTCGAAAGAGATCTTTTTAAAATCGCTAAAGATTTACCGTTTGATTCGGCAGCTACATTTAAGGTTTGTTCTCTTTGTTTTTAATGTATATGAGGTGGTTTAGATTTTGTTTCAGATGGAATCTTTAGAGCGAATATTTTTGATTTGGTAGTTAGTAAATTTTCCGTACTCTTCTTATGTACGGACATGTATTGTCGATTTTTTTTATCCATCTGATAAAAAGTTGATTTTTAGGTCAATCCCCCAACAGCTTACAGAATGTTGAAAGACTTCGTGAATTTAAAAGCTGGTGATTTGGTTGTACAAAACGGTTCAAATTCGAGTGTTGGTCGTTGTGTAATACAGGTAAAATTCT